AAAACCGCCTCTACCCGCCTCCGCCGCCGCCCCAAGAAGCTCCCCACCCACTCCGACAAGCCTCTCCCTCTGCCCACGGGGCGCCGCCTCGCCCGCCCCCTCGACACCGCCGGGGACTTCACCGTCCCCGGGGACGTCGGCGCCTCCCCCGCCGCGGCCATGGAGGTGGACCCCACGTGGGAGGCGAGGGCGTTGCCGGCGATGGACTCGGTGGTGAAAGTGTTCTGCGTTCACACGGAGCCGAATTTCTCGCTTCCGTGGCAGAGGAAGAGGCAATACAGCTCGAGTAGCAGCGGGTTTGTGATCGGTGGCAGAAGGGTTCTGACGAATGCGCATTCCGTGGAACATTACACACAGGTTAAGCTTAAGAAACGTGGCTCTGATACCAAGTACTTGGCCACCGTGCTTGCCATTGGAACCGAATGTGACATTGGTAACTAACTGCTAAACCTTCACTCTTTCTCTTATCGTGTTTCTTCTATATGTTGTTTGCCTTTGCAGTTTTTTTCTTCTATGTATGTCAAATTGGATGTGATTCATGATGCTGGGTTGTCTTCATGTCTTAGAATGGTGCATAGTAGAAACAATACGTTAGCGAACTACGCCTTAGTTGTACAATTAGCAAACTACACCTTAGTTGTATTTTAAGACAATCGAAGTTATAGTGTGCTAAAATTCTCTTTCTAAATAACAAGTGGGTGTGCATTAACAAACTTTACAAGGATTTGCGGGCGTATACCAACTTATATTTTAAAAGGAGTTAGTTAACCTTGGATGTATTTTATGATAATGGTTGTAATAACTTGCTAACCTACTTCTAAAAGACAAGTAGGTGTATTGTGTGTTAGTAAATCCCTACCTTGTCTATTTCTGTGGAAACTGAATTATCTATGTACAAGGTGTACATGATGTCGAATAGTGTTGCAGATTATCTTGTATTTACAGCAATGCTATTTGGTTGGAAAGATTTTTTCAAGAAAAAGGGCTAAGAATGGATTTTTAACCAACCTGGGAGGAGATTGGTGTATGAGTGTGGAGATAGAAAAGTTGTTGGAAGAGAGAAGTGTACTTTTGTGTATTTTCACAAATTCATTTAGCATTTTCCATCAGCTTCATATAAATTAAATTTGAATGTCGTAAAAGGAGGAATAAAATCAATAAACTGTTAACGGTGAATAAGTAAAGAGAACCTGCATATTTTGTTACTGCACATACTTATCATATAGATGAGATTAAAATATATGTAAACAATTATATTTTATCCGCACAATAACTTCATTAAGGATCAACTAATTGGGATATAATATTTAAAAATTATTTGTTGATATTGGAAGCTATTATATGAAACTAGTTATAGCATCATAAAAACATAACTGGGGGGTGGTGGGGTGGGTTACAGAATTATTTGTTTCCAACCTCCAAAGTATTACTATAGAGGTTTTTTGCTTTACTTTCAAATTTGATTTCAAATTAATGCATTTGATTTTACACTTGCAGCCATGCTTACAGTTGATGATGATGAATTCTGGCAAGGGATGTCACCTGTAGAGTTTGGGGATTTGCCCACACTTCAAGATGCAGTTACTGTTGTTGGCTACCCAATTGGTGGAGACACTATCTCTGTGACCAGTGGTGTTGTATCGCGCATTGAGATTCTATCTTATGTCCATGGATCTACAGAACTTTTAGGTTTACAGGTTAGGTTGAAATGATTAGTCTTCCACCTTTATCATTTAGGGGATGTTTGGAAGATCTTATGGGGGAGCTTATTTGATGACTCTTATAAGTTCTTTTTACCCTATCTCAGATTCTCAATGAGATTCTTGGTATAGCTTATCAAAATAAGCTCTTTCTGGCTTATTCCAATATATTTCATAGTCAAATTTATAGCATAAGTCTTCATTTGTTAGGAGCTTACTGAACAAGCATTCACCCTTAGTTATGATTAATTTAATGTATCCTGATTTTCCTTCACTAAGATTGTTTTTGCAGATAGATGCTGCTATAAATTCTGGCAATTCTGGGGGGCCTGCATTTAATGAAAAAGGAAACTGTGTGGGGATTGCTTTTCAGTCCCTCAAGCATGAAGATGTGGAGAATATAGGTTATGTCATTCCAACACCAGTTATCATGCATTTCATCCAGGATTATGAGAAGAATGGAGGATATACTGGTAATATAGTAGCTATGAACTAAGATGTAGATTTCATTTCCAGAAGCTGTTACTTGAGCAAGGAATTTTTTTTCTTGGATTGATTCTTTATTTGCTGAGACTTTCTTTATCAATCTGCTGTTAGGATTCCCTATACTCGGGGTTGAGTGGCAGAAAATGGAAAATCCTGATCTAAGAACGGCAACGGGCATGAGACCTGATCAGAAAGGTGTGCGCATTAGAAGAATTGATCCTACTGCTCCAGAATCTAAAGTTTTGAAGCCATCAGATGTGATCCTTAGTTTTGATGGGGTTGATATTGCCAATGATGGAACAGGTGAGTGGTTATGTACAGTTTCTAGCTTATATTTGTGTAGTTGTACTTTGTTTAGCTATTAAAAACTAAAATGTCTTTTGAGTGGAACTATCATTTTTTATTTAATGGAAACTATGATAGAAGAAAGTAGTGTTAACTTTGTGACCTCTTTTAGAGATACAATGACAGCATTCATTGAGTTATGCATGCCAAAGCTCCTCAGCATGTCTCTTAGATTTTGATCTTTTACATGAACTATCAGTTTTATGGCTACGAAAGTGCCTTGCGATAATATCTTAACACCTAGGAACTTTTTGGAAGAATGTCAAAACTTAACAATTATTTTATATATAATTGACACAATCTATTTCTCTCCAGATTTGTACTTTTTCCATTTGGATTAACACTTATTTTGTGGTTTAGGTTTTGTGCTACTGATTTTAGTTAGATATGAAGAGGAGAAACAAAACTATGCGATCTTTCAGTAGTCATAGTACATTACTGGATCAATTCTAGATCTTATTATGCAGTTTCGCCATAAAGTCACTGTCGATATTGGTGCAATGTTTTTTCTTTGTTTGTTTACTGTTTAGGTAGCAACAATGAGACTGTATGTAATTACCCATCTCTCCTGCAGCCAATATATATTCTTCAAAATCTGTTATGTTTTTACCTCTTGGTGTTCTTTTCAGTTCCATTTCGTCATGGAGAGCGCATTGGTTTCAGTTATCTCATATCCCAGAAATATACTGGTGATAATGCAGCAATCAAAGTACTGCGCAATTCAGATATTTTGAAATTTGACATTAAACTCAATAGTCACAGAAGGCTTATTCCAGCACACAGCAAGGGCAAGCCTCCCTCATATTATATAATTGCAGGATTTGTTTTTACAGCCGTTTCAGTTCCATATCTTCGTTCTGAGGTCTGTGGTTAATCTAGCATCTCTATACTTTAATAATTCAGCTACTGGGTATCTTAGGTGATCCTGTTGGTTTTTACTATTGTTAATATTACATATTGTTGCTCTTCCAATGTTTCTTCCAAGTGGTATTTGAATGTTTGATACTTTTGTGTTCTGGAAAAACTTTATCTGACCAGAAAATTTGAACTTGTGCCATAGCTTCGTTAAATGGAAATTTTTTCACTATTGCCGTATCTCAATACAATGATCGTTATTCATGAGGAAATCAGTGAAATGTTTAGAAATTCAAAATTATTTAATACCTTAAAAAATGTTAGGCTGTAACGATACAGTGGACTGTGCTGGTGAAGTTGTTACAGGTTTTTTTAATGAATGACTCGTGGTTCAAGTTTCATAGCAATATTAAATTATGTTCTGCTATCTGCTGCATTTAGATGGGCTGGACGTAGTTCTGTATAAAATTGGAGCTTATTATTAAGTTTATTACCATAGAAAGTTATGTATTTATTCCAGTTTTGTATGTATTTCCGGGAATTGAATGTAATCCAATTCTAGTCTGTTTGATGAATACATGGTTTTGAAATTATACTATTAAGCAAAAAGGTCTGACTCTAAAGTTTCATGACTTGAGGATTACACCTTTTACCTTTTATCATTTACTTTACCTTTGGCATTAACTAGAAAATTCATTCATTCAACCTGCATTTGCTTACTCTTTTGTGGAGCCATTCTTTCCCAACTCATTTTATCATGCATGAACAGTATGGAAAGGATTATGAATATGAAGCTCCAGTCAAGCTTTTAGATAAACTGCTGCATTCGATGCCACAATCACCCGATGAACAACTTGTTGTGGTATCCCAGGTATGCTGTCTTTGTCTGTCTTCCTTTCTACTGTTCCTACTAACTATCTCTTCAGGTCTGATCATCTCTTTGATACATTAAAGGTGCTGGTGGCTGATATCAATATTGGATATGAAGATATTGTTAATACCCAGGTTGTTAATGGTTATGTTCGATCTTTTAGCTTTCCTTGCAGACAGCTATATTTGCTTAAGGACTTATTTGTTTACTGCTTTTTATTCTGTATATTTTGTAGGTCGTTGCTTTCAATGGTAAACCTGTGAAAAACCTGAAGAGCTTGGCCGCTATGGTAGAGAGCTGCAATGATGAATATCTAAAATTTGATCTGGATTATGATCAGGTTCCCTTGCCATTCTTCCCCGTTTTATGTGCTTGTGTGAAAATGGCAGTAGTAGCTATATTAACCAACTAATCCTCTTATATGCAGATAGTGGTCCTTCGCGCAAAGACAGCAAAAGCAGCTACTCTAGATATTCTTGCAACACACTGTATTCCATCCGCAATGTCTGATGATCTTAAGTCATGATCTGGATCACATTGTAGTAGATTCTGCATCATGATGTCAAGTCATTTTATGTTGGTATCTGTTGAAAATGATGCAGATGTGTAGGCTTAACTTTTAGTTAGATTGCTTCCCTACATGCTACTGAGAGTTATGTTTAAGTGCTAATGCATCTCTAGACTCTCATGGTTCCACTTTTTGAAAGGGACGACAGATAGGTGAGCACGATTTACGTTACAATTCATTATATTCTGATACGTTATTGGCCTTTTTCACATTTTGAGGTACATGAGCAATGTAAAGAAGCTTCCATTACATTCACCAACGTGATATATACTAGAGCAGACAATGCAAAACAACTATAGATTTTTCCAAAAAAATTTAGATTCTTTCATAAATTGGCGAAGATGAACGTAGACACGGGTAAATGTTTATGCTAAAATGTTGAGTAGAGGACTCGCTTGGTCAGATGGGGATGATTGACTATCAGCTGCGATGCCTTTCAACTTTTCCTCTTTTGATTGTGCCCACAATACTGTATAAAATCCAATGGCGATTATCACTGCGCCAATCACACTAAAAGGATGAAAAAACACAAAAGAGTCAATAAAAAGCAAGTGTACTGTGAGCAAGGATTAGGCAATACAAGGTTAAACAAGCAATTAGAAAATTGGGAGTTAGATTTTTTATTCTTTTTGTTCGATGCTTTAATACACGACATGCTTATTAAAAAAAATTATATTCCTGTACGGATCGTTTGTCGTGACTCGATTTCAACTTCAAAAATATTTAATTTGAATTTTAATATTCTAAAACGTATTTGTTTTTTTTTGTCCAAATTGATATTAACAATATTTGAAAAAGTATATATGACAGTGATGATTACATATTAATTTTTCTATTATAAATTAAAATATTTATTTCTATATAAAAATATATTTAAGTTCAATTATACAGTAAAATGGTTTATGATTGAAATTAAATTTGTTTTCATGTTAATTTATTTGTATTAGAAAATAGCTATTAATTTATTATTATTTAATATGCCATATGAATACAAAAATGTTTCATTATTTTTTACTAATTCAGTACCTTCACTAGTTTATCGAATGATGCAATTTAAAAACATTACAAAGATTGGGAAATGAAGGACTGGGTTTATAAGATGATATCTGACGATAACATACCATATTAAAAGTTCTCCTTCTCACTAACTTAAAAAGGTACTAAATAGTAATGAAAAATTAAGGGACAAAAGAGATAGTATTACAAAGTTGTCTTTGGAATAATGCTTATTGTTCAAGGTATCTTTCAACAAAAAGTGGTGACATAATTGAACTTGGCAAAGAATATTTTGGAAAGGAGAGAGTCACCTGCCAACATGGAGTGTTTCACCAATGAAGAGAACACTGGAAAAGGCAGCAATGGCAATCCCCACAGGCTTGAACATGCTAACAAACACAGGTCCTTTCCTTTTTATGCACCAAGTCATTACAGAAAACGTCACCACACTTCCCACAACAGCCTGCAATATTATTGTTTTCCACATATAAAGGAATGCGCTCAGCAAGGTTTTACAATTTGTTTCTTATGGTTTCTACTTTCTAATACGTGCTTAGTGCTTACTGAATAGAATATAGAGATGAGCTGAATGTCAGGGCTTATTTTCCAGTCATTTGAATCTCTGACTAGAATGAGAGAAAGTATTCCACTTTGGATGCTTCCAAATAGGCAATAGAAGGCTACTATGGTTAACTGAGATGAATATCCTTTAAGAATTGTTGCCTGCAAACAACCACAACCAAATCAAATCCCATCATTAAAAGTGAAGACCTTCACACCTATTTAGATTAGTGGTCATCGTAAAAAAATAAAATAAAAGATTAGTACTCTAAATATGTAATCAAACTAGGCAATAAGCATCTCACCTGAGTAATGTTCCAGGCTGCAAGAGACAGAGAGGCAAGGGCAAGAAAAAGACCCCCAATGACCCAGTTACTGGTTTCAGCCAACAAAGATGGCAATGAATATGATTGTGATGGAGAGGGTTTAATTTCAAAGCTGCTGATGGAACTGCCCTTGTAAAGGGTCACGAGTAATGCCCCAGAGATGGACAGCACTGTGCCCATGATTTTGATCTGGCTTATTGAGCTTCCAATATCCAACTTCTCCATCCTATAATATATGTTTTTTAATTTATGTAGCAAAATAATTGAATACTGTAATAACATATATTATATAAAAATAAGGATAATACTAACCGGTGTCCTTTATTACACTGACTAAGAAATCAAAAGAATAAAATTTTACTGATTCCTGGTTAACAAGTTATAAACAATGTCATGTTGTTGAAAAGAAGAAAACTAGTTATTGCCTGAGGGTAACCGCTAACAGAAAAGTGATTGCTGGAGTCAAGTTGCTCATAGCGGATCCAAGAGTGGGGGAGCTGTAGTCAATGCCGGTGAAAACACAATTCTGCATGACAGTTATGCTGCAAATCTCCAATGCTTACACTTTTGTTTCCTCATAAAAGAATAATATAACGAAACTAAACTACGTAGACACATATATACATACCCAAGAATACCGAGGAGGAAGAACTTGGAGAGAAGCGAGAAAGAAAGGGGTGGTCTTCTTGTTGTTATGCAAAGAAGAGAGAGAGAGAGAGAGCAGTTGATAATGTATGGGAAAGAGAAATGAAATATTGAGTGAAAGTGTTGGAGTACCTGTGGATGAAGAAAGAGATAGGGAGGAGTATGAGAGTTGCAAGAGCATTGGAGTAGACAACAAAGACAAAGTGGTTCATTCCTTTGGACATGGCGGCTTTACTCAACGTTGTCAATCCCACGTCAAGGCACTCCACAATCACCATTGCTATGAATGGACTCAGTTCCACCAATTTGCGTATCACTTTCATTTCTTCCTTTTTGCATCTCTCTGAATCGGGTGGCTTTTTAAGATGGAAAAATGATTCCTTAACATATGCTGCCATAGGTTAAGATAAAAAGATTAGTGATGATATCATTATTCTACAGTTAGAGACAAAGTCCCACATTGTGTCAGGTGTCAAGCCATTGGTTTGAGTTTGAGGATTAGATTGTCAGGAGTAGAAATAAAAATCTCACAATTTTAGAATAAGAGAATCAACATAAATATGTCTTTAATGATAAAGTTTCTTAAGTAATGATAAAAACAAATTTGTAAATGTTTAAATATAAAGTATAGCATATTACACTAACGTAGTGACATGAAAGAAGCAACCATCCTAGTTTGTTTGGAAAATACAAAATCATTTTAATCTACAATGGAATTTAATGAACTCTGTTTCTGTGTATAAATTATAATGGTGAGAATAACCCATAAAAATAATTAACAACATCTAATGGTGATAATTTTTATTTTAATAATTAATCATGAAAATAATTATCAAAATACTTATTACATCATATTATTTACTAGTTTATAATTTCTTTTATCAAGACAATGCCCTCAATGGCCTCTGGTTATAGAATGTAGACAATTTCTAGCGACTTTAATACGTCCTTTCATTTATTTATCATTTCGACGAAACCAATTTTGTGGAAAGGTGTTTGCATTGTGCATGCAAAACGGGTCCTGTGGATTCGGTTGTGGGCCAAGAACAGGGTAACGGGAAAAGCTACGCGTTACTTTTCCAAAACAAAATTCATAATAGTCTAGGAGTACTTGCCAGGTCACACCCTCTATGCACTCTCACTAGAAAGACATACTACCATGGTCTAGTCGGGATAGCTAAGCCGTGCAAGATACATCTCATGCACACAATGGGCGAGACTGAGACTTACAAATCGAGCTATCCCCAAGGACTAATCCCCAACCTTTTATACAAGGGGGCCTTCCCTGGCGGTGTATTCCATATCGTACCCTTAAAACATTTATGCAAATGATGCATGTAATTCAAGACTCTATGCATTCTCATATCACATCATCATGTCTCATTATCACATATCATCATATCTCATGTCTCATATTCACCTTTCAAATTATTTCATCATATTCACATAATCACCACAGAGCAGTCTAATTCATATCAAAACTTGTCTATTTTCAAAATTAAACACATATTTACACTCAACAAACATTAAGGGACATAACAAAAAACTCAGGTAAAATAGAAAACATTCAAAAAATTTCTGTCTCTCATAGGGTTCCCATAGGAGCCCACGAAGCATTCTAATTCATATCAAAACTTGTTTATTTTTAAAATTAGACACATATTTACACTCAGCAAACATCAAGAAACATAACAGAAAACTCAGAAGCTAAAATAGTAAACATTAGAAATTTATCTGTTTCTCATAGGGTTCCCATAGGAACCTACAAAGCACTCTAATTCATATCAAAACTTTTTCATTTTAAAAATTAGACACATATTTACACTTATCAAATATCAAGGAACACAACATAAAACTCAGAAGGTAAAACAAAAAATATTAGAAATTTTCCTGTTTCTCATAGGGTTCCCACAAGAACCCATAGAGCACTCTAATTCACACAGTTACAATTCTAAAACTAAAATTAATCATTCATTCAAGAAATCCATACAATTAATTACATACAAGAATAACAATAGATGACACAGACACAATTGGGGAAAACCCCTCACGCATGAGCATAGAACAAACACATGATTGGGGGCCAATCCCACTCCCCAACATACATTCCCACACCCAGAGCAAGGTTTCTCACTCCCCCTTACCTTGTTGAGTAGAAAAATATGAATATTTAAATCTGGGGTGATTTCCTCCTCCTTCCAATTCTCCAAGCTCTGAAGCGTAAATGCGTACGTGAGAAAAATGTAAAACGTAAAATTGATCAACTTTCTCTTCTTTTTTTCTTCTTTTTAAAACCTAACCTCCCTTTAACCCTTTAGTAAAAATGTGAACCATGGTTATCAAAAGTAATTTCCCTTCCCTTATTATAAATAATTAAAATAAAATATATAAATAATTACAATAAAACACATAATTTTTTCCAAATACTTATTGTAACAAAATATCATAAGAATACATAGTTCTCTAATAAATATTACACAAAATTATTTTCATAAATATTTATTATCTAATTAAAATACTCATAATTATTAAAAACTCTAAAATATTCTATAAAACCCATTTAATTAATTAAAACAATTATAAGAAAATCATCCCAATAAATAAAAATAAATAATAATTAAACTATTAGTAGAAAATTTGGGATGTTACAATTCTCCCCTGCTTGAAGAAATTTCAGCCTCAAAATTTATCGAAAACAAGAACGGATAAACTTCATGCATCTTGCTCTTTACTCCCAAATAACACTTTCCTAAATATTTCCTATCATAAAATATAATAGTAGAAAATTTTATGTAACCTCACTACCTTATTTATGTACAACTTCATCAGTCTTGCCAATGAACATCTAATATTACTAAGAGTAAGGTGGGCAAAATTGGTGAGTCTATCCGCTATAAACCAAAAAGAATCAAATTTCTTAAGCGTCTTAGGCAAACCTACAACCAAGTTCATCGACACACCATTTCACTTCCAAGCTAGAACATTTAAAGAATGTCCTAAAGACTTTTGGTGTTCTACCTTAGAATTTTGGCATACTAAACATGAGTACACAAATTCCTTTACTTCTCTCTTCATCTTAGGCCACCAGAACATCTTCCTAGTGTCTTGATACATCTTAGTAGCTCCCGAGTGAATACTAAGAGTACTCGTATGTCCTTCTTCTAAGATCATCTTCTTAAATTCAGGATTACTAAGCACCCAAATTTTAATTTCAAAATAACATCAACTCCTACTCGGAAAGGGTTATCTATACTCCTACCAATTTTCTCTACTTGGTTCACTATGAAAGGATCTAACTCCTAGGCTTCTCTAATCTCATCCATCAATTTACCAATCACTTCAACATACTCAATCTAATGTTCCTAGGGGTAAGTTCACACGTCAAGCTTAAGTCTATGAACTCCTTTATCATATCCAACCCTTAAATAATCCAAGATGATTGGTGAAAAGTCTTTCTACTCAAGGCATCTACTACTATATTATCTTTACTTCTATGACCCTCTCCAATGATCAAGTACCTAATCGTAAGTTCACTAAGTACACATACCCGATCTTTAAGTCTTACCACTCCATCTATATCCAAAGTAAATTTCTCTTACTATCTTGTCTTGAGCCTCACATTTTGCCACCAAAATGAATCATCTAATTGTGTTTCTCCAATTTTCCTTTGATAATCCACTAATTACTCGAGTCATGCCTAGTCTCGTACCACTAGGAGTAATCTCACAAGTCAAACTTAAATCCCTAAATTCAGTCAAAAGATCCATCTTTCTAATCATAAAGGAAGATAACTGTGGAGATTTCCTACTCAAAGCATCGGTCATGATGATGAATTTATTGTGAGCATTTGAAAGTTGAAAAATTATTGATAGAATTTATAATAATTTCTTTATTTTTTTTATAAAGAATATTCTTGCAAAATTTCTTGCGAAAAAATTCATAAGAAACTTTCTTGCGAATTTTTTTCGCAAGAAATTTCGCAGGAAAATTTCCTGCGAATTTTAAAATTTGCAAAAAAAATATTATCCACGAAGATATTACCTGCAGATAAAATTTTGCAGGAAAATTTACAAGAACAGCGCTTCCTATATATATATATCATCTAAACATATGTCGAATTTGGTTAATAAAAGAAAAAGCAGGATGAGTTGTAAAGTATCCATTATAGGTGATTTTAATGGGTGGACCAAGAATCCAATTCAATGAGAATGTTATCAAAACCGCTCTCCCAAGCCTTGTGCTGCAAATTAATCATTGGGAGGCTTCCGACTTTTGAGTAATGAGTTGGAGGTTGCGGTGTTCCTTTCAAATTCTTTAATTTTTCTTTATCTATATTGGACGAATCTTGGTAGATATAAAAAATGTTCTCAATGTTTTCAAGTAATTTGGGTGTCTGTAATCTGATCACTATGACTTCATCAGAACGTTATTATCTTTCAGCAAGGTGTTATGGATTGTAAGGAAGTGTTGGACAGCATTAAACTGCATTTATGGAAGTGGATTACTAGTTCTGTCCCAGTTGTTCTTTTAGTTACATTAATTGGTATGATAACTCGGGTTTGTATTTCTCCTAATTTTTACTTTGATTTTGAACTCTATTGTAACGGGTTGGAGTACCCCTTGTACTCCCAATAATTTAAATCTTGTTTGCTTATAAAAAAAGTAAATGTAAATTTTTATTCACATCTTTTATTTTTTATCTCTTAAATTTATTTTATTACATCATAATATGACATTAATATTTATTTTTTCTCCAAGTACTTATAATAATTCGAGGTGTTCATCTATCATTTTCTATATATATTACCACCAAGAGACCAATACACGCCATCCAAAAACCTTGGGAAATGATGAACCTACACTCTATTTTTAGGGTGTATGGATGAAAAAATGAGAAGGATAGAGAGAAAAAGAAAAAATATGATAAATGTAATAAATAATATGATGAGAAATGAAGAAAGAATAGAGAAAAATGGTGTGAAAAATGATATGAAAAAGAAAATGAATGTATGATAATATTACCGCTATTATTTTATTTTATTTTATTTTTCAAAAAATAACCTTAGTTATAATTCATTTACCGTACAATAATCGCCGTCTAGTTATTCTGATATGAAAAATATAAGATTATTTTAATAATTATTAGTATTATTGATGTATCAACTATCTTTGAGATTATATTTTAATAAAATAATAGTTTGAAACAACTCTTATTAATTTAAATTTAGAGAAAAATTTATAAACTTATAAATTGAAACTTGTGTGTAAAATATTTTTTTAGTAAAGTTGAATATTAGTGTGACACTGAATTTTCTATTTTCCTTATATACAAAAATGTATAAATTTTATTTTTTTTGTTATTATTTTTAGTTAATATTTGCTTAATATTGTTTGCAATTATATTTGAACTAAATTAAATTAAATGAAATTATAATTAACTAGTCTGGGTTAAAGAATGCCATGAATTCAGATAAGTCACAAATTGATGTTTGAATTAAAATAAAAATTTAACAGAATATTACTTTTGGCTCCTCAAAATTTAATTCCACGATTTAATTCTCTCGATTTTATAAAACCCCAAATTTTGGTCTTAAATATTCATAATTAGTTGTTAAAATTCTAACATTAATTATTACATGATATCAAGTAAATAATTAAAAAAATAATATTTAATAATATTTAGACTAAAAATTATACTTTTAATCACACTTTTATTTCATTTTTTTTATCTTGTTACCACTTTTATAGAATAAAAATAAATGTTAAAAGTGTAAAATAACTTAAATATTAATTATCACATTATTTACTTACTATTAACTCATAATTAACATTATAATTTTAACAATTAATAAAAATTAGACTAAAATTACGAATTTTACACTATTTAACAAATTAAATTGCAGAATTAAAAATATTTTGTGGAGGATCAAATGAGCTTTTTGCTTCATGAGTTTTGAGGTTGCTGTTCATACCCCCCCTTTTTATTCTTCATCCCTCCCCACAACTCTCTGCTTTTTTCCCTCTTCTCCATCACCACTGAGTTCTCTCTTCTCTCTCTGCATGAAGCAATAATGTAATCTAAGTCTAGCTTGTTTAGGGTGTGTTTGAAGACAAGTTTTCGCACATTTCAAAAATCTTCTTCTTAGTGGGTTGAACTCAATGGACGTTACTTCAGTGTGTTGGAGCCTAAGTCTAAATAGTAAATACACACTTAGTCATTAGTGACATGTAAAGTTTTGAAATAGTACTATTATATCAGTTAATGGGCCTAAGCATTTGTCACAGCCCAACTGTTAAGTAGTGTGGTAATTGGAGTTAGTTTCTGTTTTGTAATCCAAGTATGTTAACTGTTACTGGACTTGGACTCATTGTATAAAAATTAAAGACCAGTGTGTATGTGATATAAAAAATGATAAGTATTCAATTCAATTCTTGTGTGCTGTTTTTAATACTCTAAATCTTTCTAAAGAGTGTGTTTTACATAAATTGTTCTTGCACTATCAAGAATATGATCCGGTCCTGTTGCCATCCTTCTCCGTCTTATGTGCTTCTGTGAAAATAGCAGAAGCTTTATTATCACCCACTATCTTCTATGCACATAGTGGTCCTTGCACAAAGACTGAAAAAGCAGCTGCTCTCAATATTCTTGCAACACACACTATTCCATCAGTGATGTCTGATGATATTGAGTCATGAACTGGATGAAGGGATACACACTGTTCATAATATACAGTGATAAAACTCTTGAATCATAAAAATCTTTAATAGTGTAAAGATTATATGTGTATTCACACCAAAATTAAACTCTTGCGAATTTTTTTCGCAAGAAATTTCGCAGGAAAATTTCCTGCGAATTTTAAAATTTGCAAAAAAAATATTATCCACGAAGATATTACCTGCAGATAAAATTTTGCAGGAAAATTTACAAGAACAGCGTTTCCTGCGAATTTTTATGAAAAATTCGCAAGAAAAGTCGCATGTAATAAAAGAAATTCTAGTAGTGATTATCGTGCCCACACATGATATTTCTCTTTTCCATGGAAGAGAAGCTTATATTTAAATGTTATTTATATATTATTGAAAACTACTCTTTACAAATTCTCTATTTGTTGTATAAATGAGAGGTGAGTGGGAGGTTGCAATAAGTAGGAGAGAAATAAATATTACTAACTTGGTTCCTATATTTAAATTACTCAATTACCTATTTCACTAAAATTAAAAAGAAATAGTTAATTTAATTAATAATAATAAATTTATTTTATTTATTTTTTCTAAAACTATCTTTTTATCACTTCTCTTTTCTAATTAATACTTATATTTTTTAACTAATTAGAGTGTATATTTTATATTGTTTCTCTTTCAGAATTAATACTCATCTTTCTATTAATCAATTAAAATGTATACTCTTTAAATAATTTATAACTAATGCATTTTACTAATTCAAGGGAACACACTTTAATTAATGATATTTTTAGTCTAAATATGATTGATATATGAGACAGTATAAATTAGGTCTTATATAAAAGAATAAATAATTATTCTAAATTAGGTCTTAAAAGTAAAAGCAGATGTAATAATTAGATAAATGAATAATATAAGGATAGTTTAAAAAAATAGAGTAAATTTATTGTTATCAATTATATTAACTATTTTTTAATATTAATAAATTAAGTAATTGAGTCTTATATATAAGAATGAAGATATTACTTATCCATAACAAGTTTCATTCCAAACTTTTTTACACAAATTAAAAAAATTAAAAAATAGATGAAAATATGTAGTATTTTAAGAAATTAACCTTATTATTAATGATTCATTTTCAAGGAAATTAATTTTTTTTATAAGAAGTCATGTAACACAAAGCAATATTCTGAAGATTATTATTAATTAAGGATATAAATAAATAATATTATATGGAAGAGCTAAAACTATACTTATATTTGTTTTAACACTTATTTTTTTCCTTTTAATAATATTTATTATAAGCTGGAGAGAGTATTATTTATGAAAGCAACAAAGTAAGCAATTTTCCTTAGAAGATATTGATCTAAGTTATAGATTTGTATATAGTAAAGATTTTATTAGGAGAAATAAATTTGCTTCACACACACCAAAAAAGAAAATAGAAGAAATAGTGTCATCAATAAATTGATTGTGAAAAAAGAATGATTTTAGGGTATATATCATGATTGCTAACAAATGTTTTGGAATGGTGTAGATTCCCAATAGCTTGGGAACACTTTCTGGATTGTTGCAGCTCTCCCTCTATGCCATTTACTACAGAACAACCAACTGGAATGAAGAAACCCCTAATATTGTATGATTTCTTCTTCGAACTGAGAAAGATCGAAAGTTAAAGGGGGAAAAAAATGTCAATACACAGAGGTCCCTTTAAAGAATAAGTTATTTTGTAGTTTTGAAATCATAACATTCATCTCGTGTAGATGAGATCGTCACACTCCTTGTTGTTGTATTGTTGTGGGCCTTAATGTTGCATATGCTCATTTGAGCTCGTTTACTTTATTTTTTTTATTTTTTTATTTTTTATGATAATGAACTGGTGATAGCAAAGGAGAATGACATAAACTTGGTGCTTACTTACTCAACATTATCAATATACTTATTCAGATTGGTATCACAATCAACATTACTTGACATATAGATAAGTTTGAAAATAAATTATCCAAGAAAAATACTCACATTAAATGCATTTATGATCTTTGATGAATATTAGTTATTGTTTTCAGTGGTTGATTATTCTTACTCATATCATGGTTAAAAAAAATATATGAAATATCATTGAGTAGGATATTACTTGTGAAATTCTATACTTATTATAAAAACTAAGTTCGTCAGGTTAATAAAATAAACCCTCCAAAATCACTATCAACTGGGTGATTCGAGTGTCATATATCTTCTCTCTTTGTAGTTTAAACTGATCCTATGGGTACTTTTTGAACTTTAATTATATTCACATATCCACATCAAACATCAAAATATTTATAATTAGCATTCCATGCAATCTTGATAAAATATTTTAAGATTGTTTGGATAAACTTTTTCATAAATACTTATAGAAACTCTTCCATAATAATTGTTTTAGCATACAAAGAAATTGATTTCATTTTTTCTTCTCTTAAAAATTCTTATGAAAAAATTTATTCAAATTAACCCTTTATAAATATTTTCTTTGATAGACCTGAAGTATTAGCCCACCGTTTTGGTAATTGTCAATAGTGTCGAGAAAGGGATAAAAAAAGTATCAAGAAAAAGGAAAAACCTAATGTATTAAGGGTTAACAAGAATATATTCACCTTCTAATTTTAGTGGATTATGGCAATGGTACGCTTCAAATTAAATGAAAGATTAATACATTCTTGTTCGCTTAAAAAATAAATTCCCTTTAGAGAAATCTTCTAAACTTTGTGGACTTGCTCCTCTTCCTAGTATGATAGACAATTATTCTTTTCATCAAGAACTTGGCACAAGACATCGCAAAAGTTATTTGATCTGAACCCACGTGGATGACCAAAAGCTTGAAAATGTTTCAATCCAAAATATGCCTGTTCAGTTTTTCTTTTTATATAAAAGCGACTTTGCATGCAATGCAATTGTATCTCACTACTGTTGAACAACTATTCCTATTTTCGTTGTTTTCATCCTTTAGAAGAATTAGGCTTTAGTCAACATTCAAATAGTAATGGCACTGTCCTTGATGGAAATATAAGTAAAGAGAATTGTGTGAAACATTGATTTTGATCTTTATTTTCTCTCCATTCAATCTTGATACCACATAGACCACTCAAACAACATTACCTCACCACTACCTTTCTCAAAATACTAGTAGTTTTCAATGAGCAAACTAATATAGAGAATGGATATGAGAATACCAAGCAAATGGATCCAGCTTAATCACATCAATTATGATTGAAATAGTATAATGAAGATCCTGCATGTTACAAGTCCAATCCGGCAAAGTGAAAGTAATACCCAAACCCACAGAACCCAAACCAATGTGGGAAAAAAAGGTAAGAGTAAAAGAAAATGAGAGGTACAGTTTTACACACCCAACATATTGACATGTCACCAGCACCTCCTACCTGTACTGTACCCCCAACTGTGTATTTGTCTCATCTAGTATCCAAATCCTGTTTTCTCACTATAGATACAAATGGATTCTTCAAATAGTGAAAAATCACTATAACCAAATTGTTTGATGGAGTAAAGAATAAAACTTTTTCAGGGCCCTCTATGCTTGCGGAAGCAAAAGCAACCCTGCTGCTGATCATGAGGGATCATACCTCCACCTTTGGATATGTCAATGGCCTCCAGCATGGAAACTACCTCATCCATCTCCGGCCGCTTGTCAGGGGAGGCATCCCAGCACTTCTTCATTACATTTGCTAGAGAACTAGGGCAACATCTTGGTATTTCTGGTCTCAAATTCTAAAGTTCCAACAGAAGATAATAATATAATCATAATGGATTCACAGAAACCGAATCCACAGTGATAAACAAGCACTGCATGCTCAAGTGAGAAAGTTCAATCAAAGCAGAGAAGAAAATATACCTGGCGAACAACAGCCGAAGTAATTTCTGAGAAACTTAGGTCAGGATATGGCATGTCACAACAATATATTTCCCATAAACAGATGCCAAAACTATACACATCACATTTCCTGTTATAGGGGTTGCCGTTTAAAACCTGTAAACCATTCCCACAGGGAAAATAAAAAATAAATAGTCAATTACAAGGGCTTTCTCTTTGATCAAATTAAAATATTTTATCTTATCTTTTTTCTTTTTGATTCACAGTTTCAGACACTATTTTCTGCAACATTAAGGTCATCATCATGCATCCTCATTGAAAAACTCTCTGAATATGGCAATTGGAGACATCTACCCCACTTGGATGAAATATGGGGACCGGATACACTAATTCCCCATCAAAAATCTATTTGTACACTACATGCCTTTGCACTAAGGCCTCCACTGTGTCACACATACTAGCACAATAATTTCTAATTTGTAAACGATTTTAAAGGTATTGACTACACACCTCTGGAGCCATATAACCAAGAGTACCAGTCTCCCCAGTCATATCATTAGGATTTGATGCCTCAACACGTGCAACGCCAAAATCAGCAATTTTAACTGTGCGGGTCTTATCCAACAACATGTTCTCTGTCTTTACATCTCTGTGGACAATCTTCTGAGAGTGAAGATAACTTAGCCTGTAAAACCAAGTGAATTCAAGTTGAGTAGTTACACAGACAATAACGAGAATTGTTGTTCTCAACCTGCTAAACCACAATAGAAAATGTAATTACCCTCTTGCAAGATCAAGTGCCAGCTGGATGACAACCTTAAAAGCTAACTTCCTCCTCCTGTTCTTTATAAGGTATTGTTTCAGATTGCCTCCAGCAAGATACTCCACAACAACACAACAGACATTGCTCGGCATGCCAATTAGACCATTATCAGTTTGTATCTGCAACTCAGAAGACCCCATCGTTGCGCCTATAAACTAAAAATGGAAAATGTAAATGATTAAAAAATCTAGGATAGAAAAATGCTTGCAGAAAAGTGCTTAATACCCTATGGAAAGAGAGAAAACAAATTAACTGCAAAATATCACAAGATTGAACAGGAAAGAGAATATGTCATGAAGAAAAAGAACAAAAAAGGTAATAGGGGCTTGATGATTACACTTGTTTTCCATACCTGCGTGCATCTTTAGTACCAGGACAAATGGACAAGGACCAGATCAGGAAACCCCCAACATACCAAATGAATGGACATAAATGTAATGAAGATACAGAATATCTTTTCTTTGGTCCAAAAAGGGTCTATGTTCATTTGAAGGAGAATGTGATAATAGACATCAAATTTTCCAAATAACAGATTCACTATAAACAATAGAAACCTGAAGACTAGAAGCTTTCATTGCAAGTAAATTTCAAAAAAGGCTGGCTTATTTATTTACAAGCTTCTGTTGGAAAGGTTGTAGTTAAGTTACTAGTTCTATAATCAATTCATAAAGGATAGGCTATAGTCAATAGGGAATTTTATTAAAAAAAGAAAGAAAGAAAGAAAGAAAGAAATCCAAACTTGTTAAAATTTAGTCCACTAAATATTATCTAAAAACTCTTGAATTCAAGCACTGTATCTTGTTAATAAGGTTAGTATAAGCAACTAATGCCAAAAGTAAATGCAATGATACTTCTGTGAAGATCTTCTACGAGAAGACTCAGATTAATCTATTCCAACTTACATATCACAAGAATCTCAGATATCAACAAAGAAACAATAAGAAAGAAAAACATATCTAGGACAGTTAGGTTCATATGTCGTGAATAAACTTCAATATTTTACAACAATAAAAGTCTGATCCCACTGAGATTGCCTACATGAATCACACGATGTCATTGGACTCAGATAAAGATCAAATCCTCATAGAACTTATTCATCTTGAGATCTCTCTTAAGTCTTAACAACTTCCTCCACTATCATTATTGGTCTCCCTCTCTCCCTTTTAACAAGACTAAAAATCATGCCATCTACTTTTTTCACGTGTCCTTCTAGATGTTTTCTTTGTAGGTGTCCAATAAACTTCAGTATTATAAGATTAACATATTATTACTTCTGTAAAATACTTGAATTTCTCATATTTCAGTGTTCTACCAATGGATTACTAGAATACCATTACAGTAGGTAACCTGCATACATCATGCCCGTATAACAATGTGCATGAAAATTTTTAAAACAATTATTATAGCCCTCAACAACAAAAAAAGGAAATCCCTTCCATAATTGCAAGCAGATTCAAGTTTAGTGTGGATTTAAATCACCTGTCCCATTTTCCTGTCTCCAACCCTGTCCCCCAATAAAATTATGACACATCAATTAAAATGTCCATTAACTTCATTAGTGTAACTTCCTATTTTCTCTTTGCATGCTCACCTTCTCCACCATTAACATGTTCTCGATCTCATACACCACACCAGAATACTCATTTATGAACCAGAGACAGTTAACATTCATCAATCCTAGATTACATTGTTTCTATATTGCTTCCTGTTTTTGTCATTTTACATTTCACCACACTACTTCTGAAATTACTGGGACAGCCGGATGGCATAGCAGACTGGAGCAGGGTGAATCCTCTGCACTTCAGTTTCGCATTTCAGTTTCTTGCAGTGCCAGCTCAAAAATGCAGTTATTGCTTGGGTTTCATTGCTGGTAAATGTGGTCACCTGTTGGATTTTCATTATCGCCTGAGATTTTGGACGTTATGGTGCCGCTATTGGTTTGGAGATTTCCTGGTGGGTAGTCATGTTTGGCATGTGGGCACATCTGGTGTGGCACATGATATCAAGAATATGTTATGGTGGAGAACATGACAGTAGGGGGGAAAGAGAGGAAGTTACACAAACTGCGCCTTAATATCTGTTAAATTCTTTTACACATGAGCTGGACATTTTAATTGACGTGTCATAATTTTATTAGGGGATAGGATTGGAGACAGGAAAATGGGACAGGTGATTTCAATCTGTTTAGTGTAGGTGAAAGGAGAACAGAGAGCTAAGGTGGGAAAGTGGTGATGACGTAGTTAAGAAGGAAATCCCTGAAATGTAAAACCCACAAAACTTGGCATCCTTGAGAATTAAATATTTATCAAAAGACATAATTACAATGACAACACAAGATTTTAACTTAGGATTCTATACATACTACTTCAAATCCCTCTATCACTAGGCCAACTCTAATAGTATCCAAAGACATAATTACTTGAACCCTTTGAAAGACATCATCAATTCATCATATACAAGTATGCAACAACAAATAAAGTATAAAACTGAAAGCAGATCTGCATAGACATAATATGCAAAGGCATATTTATAAACAAGGACTGATTTGGATTCTATTAAAAATGATACCCTCTGCTAATAATATAAGTTCACAGGACCTCAGACGGCAGGAAGTTCTATGTTTGGATGGATCCCTCCGTCCAAATAATATAAAATAAAATCAGCATACGCAACATTGAAACCACAGTTCAGCTCGACAAATTATAATTACAATAACAATAACACAAACAAAATAACATAAATTGATGTTGAAGAAATTGAAATTAACCTTTGTGACATTGGGATGAACAAGTTTATGCCAAACAACAACTTCCTGGGTAAACGCTGCCCTCAACGAGGCAACTTCTGCTTCTGTCCTTTGTCCTTCTTCTCCCCAGTCCAACAATTTCACTGAACATTAAGCAAGTAATCACACTAACTGTGATCAGTTAAATGCAGAAAAGGAAACCACTAATTTTACCCAAACAATAACATCGTATTAATTAAATTCACCACCCATAAGACCAAAACCGGAACGGAGGGATTTTCCTGCGAATTTTTATGAAAAATTCGCAAGAAAAGTCGCATGTAATAAAAGAAATTCTAGTAGTGATTATCGTGCCCACACATGATATTTCTCTTTTCCATGGAAGAGAAGCTTATAAACAAACAACAATTTTGTTCGCCTTTCCTTGCTCGTGAACAGTAAATCGATGGAAACAAACACTACCTAGATATATGTAATAACTTAAATTTAATCTTATAATTAACAACTTTTTAAATGATTAAATTTGAGCCATTAGATTTATCTAATCACTATTAATGTTGCAGGAGAGATGCTAGAGACAAAATATTGCAGGAGAGGATCAAAATTCGTTAGACATGTAGTTGGCATCCTAACCTACAACATTCAACAATGAGAATTAACTAACTTTGACGAATCTCCACATACTTATAATAAAAAATAAAAAATTAAGGAATAATTTTACAAACTGGCCTAAAATGGTTCACATACTTTCAAAATCCAAATAATTTAAAACAAAATTTACAAAATATAAGTTTACAACTATAATTGATGAAGAACAAAAAAATCCAAATAAAAAAAAAATTCAAAATGTAAATCCTTTCACCCGACATGTCAGTATCAAATCATCCTGACCTAAAAACAAACAGAAAAACATATCGTCAGAAAAAAACACATTCATAAATTAATCACAATAGGAAATCTCAATATTCATTATCGAAACATACTTAATAAATATCATGAACTCTACAATCATTCAATTCCAATATCGTATCACAAATAACATATGCCCAATGTCACACATGCATATCGTGTTGGTCACCCTACTGGAGACCAGGAGGATACACAACTAATACATCGTATGTAGAGCTGTCAAAGTGGGCTGGGACCCGTGGGCCAACCCGGCCCACCTTGAAAACGGCCCGAGTCGGGCAAAAAAAAATGAAGTTTTATAGTAGGTGGGTATATCTCAACCCGGTTTCCTGCGAATTTTTATGAAAAATTCGCAAGAAAAGTCGCATGTAATAAAAGAAATTCTAGTAGTGATTATCGTGCCCACACATGATATTTCTCTTTTCCATGGAAGAGAAGCTTATATTTAAATGTACCACGATGTATCGGATCTTGATCTCTCGGGAAGTCTTTTTGGTCGAACCCGAAACGGGTATACGTATTGTAAAATTGGAAAAATTATTGATATTCGAGAACTAAAAAAGAAATTGGAGAAGTAAAATATTAGGGAATTTTAAATAAAAGGAATCTCACATTTATTACGTGTCGCACACCCATACTTATAACACATGAACACATGTCGGATAAAATCAACTTCCCTCAAAATAAAAACAAAACCACTATCATTTAGTGGGTGATTTTTATTTCGGATATGTCCTTACTTTTTGGTGGTTTCCCATTAGATATGCATGTTGTTTTTATTTTTTGGAGATGTGTTGCAACTAAAGCAACAAGTATTGAAATCAAAAGCAACAAACAAATTTTTTTTTTCAAAAAAAATATTTAATCTTCCAAATCTTTCTCTCTTTCAAATGTGGATTACTCCACCTTCACCTCAAACTATTTTAAATTCTATTATTTATATTTTTAGTGCTAACAAAAAATATAATAATATTCTACAAAGAAAATTATTTATTTATTTTATATAATTAAATTCTCTAATTTAATAATCAAATATTAAAATAATTTATAATAAAGATTAGAACAATATTGTGACCTCGTAGATTCAATAGTAAACTAGTAATATATTAATCAAGGTGGACATTTAATAATACTCTTTAACAACCAAATAGCATGAAATAATATTTTATTTTTAAGAACCAATAGAAGAATAATAAAAATAATTTTCTTCCATCATATAGCTATAGTTAACTTTAGAGTATGATATTTATGTTAAACTCTATTAAGTTAACATATACTTAAAAAAACTCATTTATTCTTTTATTTAATATTCTTGACCAGGATATAACTTTATTCTAGAACCAAAACTCATTACCTAGAGTTGATGGATTCCTTCTTGATTAATCATTAATTCTACAAGCATTTAATCATATCCAATTTCTATCCAACTAGTGCCTTAAGGCATTAGGTGTCCATAATTAAAATATAATAAACTACTTGTTAATTACTATGATAATTTCAGGCAAAAAAATTATTTAATTTCTTCTTGAGAATTTTCTATTGACTATTTAAAGTAATACGAATCATTAAAAAAATTTAATTGAGTCAATTCAAATAATCATACTCATATATGCATCATCTATATATATAATAATAAATGAAATATATTAATCTTTATCCTATAAAGACATATACATATATATTGGTCTATTCAGATAACTGTTGTTTGATTTATAATAATCCTATGAATAAGAACAATTTATATTAAAATAAGAAAAAACTTTATTTTCTCATAGTCGTAATCTCTATCATGATAACATGTCTATAATTTTAATCCAGAACTTTATTAAATAAGATAAATTGATTACATGATAGATTGGATCTTAGGTATACCTAATTATTCTCCAACACTGAAATCTGGATGACAATGTAGTAGATTCTGCATCATGAAGTCAAGTGATTATATGCACAGTATCTGGTAAAAATGGTGCAGATGTGTAGGCTTGACTTATTAGATTGTTTTCCTACATGGTAAAGGGGTTATGTTTAATTCAAGTGCTAATTCCTCTCGGGACTCTTATGGTTCCACATTTTGTAAAGGATTATAAATAGGTAAGCAGGATTTACATTACAATTAGTTATCTTCTGATGAGCCATTGTCCTTTTTCAAATTGAGGGAACTGAGGAATGCAAGTGTTTCCATTTACCAGAGCAGGCAGCCAGGCAGTACAGAAATAGGTGAGCAGGATTACATTACAATTTGCAAAACAGAACTATAGATTGGTAAAATATCTACTGAAAAATATTATTTCACCACACCGGTGACTATTCAATAAATTGACGAAGATGAACTAGTAGACACCGTTAAAAATGTTTATGCTAATACATTGCTTCCGTAAGACTCTAGTAGAGGACTCCTTTGGGCAGACGGGGATGATTGTCTATCAACTTGGAGGCCTTTCACGTTTTCCTCTTTTGATTGTGCCCACAATACTGTGTAAAATCCGATGGCAATTATCACTGCGCCAATGATACTGAAAGAAACACAAAACAAATTCAATAAAAAGCAGGTGCACCATCAGCAAAGATTATGCAAGACATGGTTAGATAGGCAATTAGAAAATTGGGAGTTGGGTTATTTGATGCAATTTGCTAGATGGTTAGTATAAGACATGCTTCTTATATATATATATATATATATATCCTTTGTCGAGAGCAAGTAAATTCAATGAATACTCATTTAAACATCCAATGGTTATTGTTGAGATTGCTTGACATTTGATAACAAAGTCCCACGGTCCGGGTGAAAAACATAGCAAAGAATATTTTGGAAATGAGAGAGTTACTTACCTGCCAACATGGAGTGTTTCACCAAGGAAGACAACACTAGAAAAGGCTGAAATGGCAATCCCCACAGGCTTGAACATGCTAACAAATACAGGTCCTTTCCTTTTTATGCACCAAGTCAATACAGAAAATGTCAACACACTTCCCACAATAGCCTGCAATATTGTTTTCCACATATAAAGGAATGAACTCAGCAAGGGATTACAACTTGTTTCTTATGGTTTCTACTTTCTAATACGTGCTTACTGAATAGAATATTGAGATGAGCTCAATGTCAGGGCTTATTTTCCAGTCATTTGGATCTCTGACTACAATGAGAGAAAGTATTCCACTTTGGATGCTTCCAAACAAGCAATAGAAGGCTACTATGGTTAACTGAGATGAATATCCCTTAAGAATTGCTGCCTGCAAACAACCTCGACCAAATCAGATTCATCACTTAAAGTGAAGACCTTCATACCTATATAGCTTGGTGGGAGTAAAATCTAATCAAACTAGGCATGTCACCTGAGTAATATTCCAGGCTGCAAGAGATAGAGAGGCAGTGGCAAAGAAGAGACCTCCAATGACCCAGTTACCGGTTTCAGCCAACAAAGATGGCAATGGCTGTGATGGAGAGGGTTGAGTTCGAAGTCCTCCGATGGGACTGCCCTTGTAAAGGGTCACGAGTAATGCTCCAGAGATGGACAGCACTGTGCCCATGACTTTGATCTGGCTTATTGAGCTTCCAATATCCAACTTCTCCATCCTATAATATATGATTTTTAATTAAGACAGAAAAATAATCCAATATCATGGTTTCATTATTGTCCTTAGAACCGCAATATATCAATCTTAGTTCAAGTTCTAATGTTGAATGCCATGATGCACCGATACGATACGTGTATCGGATACGATACGTATCCGATACGGCGATACGATTATTTAAAAATATATAGGATACGATACTTGTAAGATACGTGTCATCATATATATTAATGTTCATACAATATAATAAATGTATACTTGTAATTTTGATCAAAATTCATAAATATTAAATATATAATTACTCTTTTACAAATCCAAATTAAAAACATACTTATTGTACATTACTAAAAGTAAATAAATTATAAATCATTTCATCATAAATTACATTTTATTATTTACAAATAGAAATAATATTACTAATTTCATTCTTTTCTTAAAATTATCTATATAGAAGACAATTTTCATTTACAGTTCATCAAGGACCAATAGTTCTATGTTTCTATATTAAACATGTTTATATATCTTATTTAGCTATAATAGATATTTCATAATTTTTCAAAAATTTGAACACTTTATTAATATGTATCATTAATAAATATCAGTGAAGTATCTGAAAGTATCAAAATTGAATAAAATCTTTATAATATTTTTAAAGGCAAGAATACTTCATTGACAAGTATCGGTGAAGTATCCAAGAGTATCGTGTCGGATACGTATCGGATACGGATACGTGAAGCAAATTGAAGTATCCGTGCTTCATAGGTTGAATGTAACAACATATATTGTATAACCCGAGTTATAAACAATGTCTTGCTATGTGTTCTGTTCTGGAAAATTTCTTATCTATATGAGTATATTGTATTATTATTATATATTTAAACAAGGGTAAAAAATAGGATAAAATATATAGATTTTATAGGAATTGTTCTTTAATCAAAACTAAAATTAATATAGATCCATTGTTTCAGTGATTATAAGATCTGTACTGGGATACCGAAGTTAATTTGGTTCATAAATTTTTTATTATGTTAAGATAATGTTTAATTATGGAAACTTATATCCAATAAGTGTAAATTAATATTTTTTGGAGCATATTCATTAAAGAAAATCAAAACTAGAGTTTTACTTTTGTGATATATATATATGTAATAAAAAGTATTCCATGAAATGGTAATTCAATTTTGATTATGGAGATTATGTATTTAAGTTTAAGTTTTGTAGTAAAATAAAAGAGGTAATTAATTACCTGAGGATGACCGCGAGCACAAAAGTGACTGCTGGAGTTATGTTGCTCATAGCGGATCCAAGTGTGGGAGAGCTATAGTCAATGGCGGTGAAAACACAATTCTGCATGATAGTTATGCTGCAAATCTGCTATGCTTAGATTTTTGTTTGGTGATTATTTATCCTGATAACAAAAATAGGTACGATGAATCTACATACCCAAGAAGGCCGAGGAGGAAGAATTTGGAGAGAAGCGAGAAAGAAAGGGGTGCTCTCGTTGCTCTGCAAAGTGCAAACATAAGGGATACAATACTGAGTGTGACGTATTTGAAAAGTTGAAGTGGCTTGTTGCACTTGCACCATATTGTAATTTTCTAAATTAAAATTGAATTATAAGAGGTAATGATTTCCTTGGTACACGTGAGTTGGTGATGAAAGAGGAAGGGAGGAGAATGAGCGTAGCGAGAGCGTTGGAGTAGAGGACGAAGACGAAGTGGTTCATTCCTCTGGACATGGCTGCTTTGCCCAACGTGCTGAGGCCCACATCGAGGCACTCCACGATCACCATCGCTGCAAATGGACTCCATTCCTCGAAGCTGCGTCCCACCGCCACCATTCTTTGGGCTTTAAGAAAGCCCAACACCAAGTCTTGAGGTTCAGATATGGAGGACGAGGTCCTCTTCTTTTCTCTCTAGTCTCTACCACTTCATCGTCATTATTTATTAATTGTTACCAACCAATGCTTTCGTACGGAAACCATTTTCACCAATTAATAAAATACAACGTCAGTGGCCTCGGCCTCGGCCTCGGCATGGAGAGAGGAAATGTAGCTATACCTACTTCTCATAAACCACATTGATTGACCCGCATGTCGTTTATTCGACTGCCATTCACCACACATTTTTTTTAACAATATCTCCGTTTGAATTTTGCATAGAAAAAAAAAATATGGGTATTGGTAGTTAATAAAGTTGATGAATAGTTTATTAAAATGCGAAGAGAATAAAAAAAAATGTGATAATTATATAATGCAACAAAACAGGTTTAAGAAGCGAGTACAAGACATTAGATCTTTTGCTACCACTTTTGCTGTCTTCTTTGGTTGGACATAGATTCATCATTTGTATTGGATTGGTTTGTCTCACTATAATTTCACTACTTAACACGATCCTCTCTATTTTCTTTTTGGCATTTCTTTTCTATCTCTCTCGTCCTTCTCTAGAATAATAGGTATTGGGAGAACGATTTAAATTTCAAAATAAAAGGAGGGGGAGAATTTTAAGAAAAAATATTTTAGGAATGTGTAATTTTAAGATCTTATTTAAATTTAAAGATTTTATTATTTCTAGAAATTTATTTCCTTTTAAAAATTGGAATGATAATATTGTTTAAAGTTTATATTACAATTTAGCTCCATGTATAGTAGCTAAGTAATAAATGAAATCCTATTGTGCATTGCATTTAAGATTCCTAGACATGTGAATAATTTGGTTGTGTGAAGAAAAGTTTTATAAATAGTAACTTTTCAAAATTATGGTGGATAACACGCAAAAAGTCTAAGATCTTATTAATTGATGGTTAGACAAATCTTATCAAGTTGTACATAATTTAGCTAATAAAGGTGTTACACAATTGAATTCTCTTTGTATTTGGGGTATTTTTCATCTCCCGTCATTTCTGCTCTTATTGTGAGGGATAATCTCTCACAATTACTACATTATATTTCTAATGCAATAAAACGAAGGGCAATTTTTTGATAGACGAATACAATACAGTCTTGATCAAGCTTTGATATATGAAAAGTTGACTACCATCAATGAAAGAGAATAAGTTCAAATTAAATAAAAGGTTATGAGCATGATTTTAGTTAGCTCTTGCTCCAAAGATCAAGTGTAGTGTGTTAAAGAAGACAAAATGGAAAGTATTTATGCCCAAATCATTGACCAATGGTATATGTTTAAAGATGAAGTTGCATCAACACAAAATGGAGAAGAGAGGAAATCTCCACACATTAATAATTTCAACCCACTAGTATGTCAATTATTGATTGCAAATGAAAAAAAATATTTGATGAGGAGCAATCAATGTTGTTGTACATTTCACTACCAAGTTCTTACAAATATTTAATTCATACGTTGCTTGTAGGGAGAATAAGTTAGATGAGATGATCACCGCTTTAAGAGAAAATAAGATAATGATGAAAAATAAAAATATTGATATTAAAGGTCATACACTAATCATGTATTAGTTTGAAAAAGGAAAGATTCGTTCATGGAGACAAGATGGATAGAGAGAAAGGTCAAAATTTTAATTATATTTATAATTAGATGTGAGTAATGTGAATGTTATTATTCCATAAAGAAAGCACACATGCAAACAAGGTGCATAAAAATAAAGAGGACCTAAAATAATTAAGAATTATAAAGAGAAATGATGACTACTCCCAAGCTAATATGACTTATAGTTTTGAAGATGAAGATGTGTATTTGAAAGCTATTGAGGAGGTCTCTAAATCAACATGAGCAAAGGTTAATGTTGCTTCAAAACACATTTGTAAAAATTAAATGATGTTTGACACTTTAAAAACTAATGATGAGTTTGGTCATTTTAAGTTAAGAAATGGTGAATAAAAGTATGATAGTATCAATATTAAAGAGAACCCTTGAAAGAGAAAGTAAATATGTTTTAATATTGAAAAGAAATCTTTTATAATAAAAGAATGCAATACATTAGCTATATATATGTAGTGTATATTTAATATAGATTGTATGAAGGTTACACTACAGGCAATCAAACACATTCTTATGCTTTGAAAGATTCAGCAAACACATACAACTTTTATGCTTAAGATTATATATAAAAAAATGCATTGTTTCTAATCTAAGAGAAAATTAATTTTTAACATAAAAGAAAAGAACAATATAATATTGATATTTTTTAAGAGATGAGAGTGTAATTTACTCATTTAATCTTTACAAAGAACACTGAATTTAAATATATATTTTGAAAATTTTAATATTAGTTAAAAACAACTTTGTAATACAATATAAATGATTTATTATAAACAAAAATATAATTTATATACTCCAAAATATTATTATTATAAAGTTTAATTATTATATAATA